GATGGATCAGAAAACAGAAGAAAAACAGAATGAACAGATTTATGAAAAATGTACTGAGATATCTAAATAATCTATATAAAAAACTAAAATATCATTCATCAAATAAAATATTTTTCATTAATAAAGAGGAGAGTAGAAAACAGGACAAGATTAATGCATCAAGCTACAGTCCTTACAATGGGTGCATTATTCTTTGCTCTTATTTCATTATGTAACTGCCAAAAGCAAATGATTTACATACATATATTTGTGTCTTGGCTTGATAAAAAAAAAAAAGCTGCAAAACAGAAGTACTGTTTGTGTGTGTGTGTGTGTGTGTGTGTGTGTGTGTGTGTGTGTGTGTGTGTGTGCCTACTTCTAAAAGAGGAACTCCTGGGATGCTATATTGCCATTTCATGCTTTAGTCCAATATCTAAACCCCTGTACTGAGCATATTGGTGTAACCTATTATAAAAGCAACAGCAGATTATCGTGGATGATAGAGAAACACATGGCCTTACACAGGAAGCCCAATTGTTACCACAGGAAGTGTCTAGCTCTTAGCTCCTTGGGAGCTGTGAAGTCAGAAAGTCAATGGTGGTTTCAAACAGGAGATGACTCCCCATGGTATCAACCAAATTCAAAACAAAGATAGATCAGAAAACAGAAGAAAAACAGAATGAACAGATTTATGAAAAATGTACTGAGATATCTAAATAATCTATATAAAAAACTAAAATATCATTCATCAAATAAAATATTTTTCATTAATAAAGAGGAGAGTAGAAAACAGGACAAGATTAATGCACCAAGCTACAGTCCTTACAATGGGTGCATTATTCTTTGCTCTTATTTCATTATGTAACTGCCAAAAGCAAATGATTTACATACATATATTTGTGTCTTGGCTTGATAAAAAAAAAAAAGCTGCAAAACAGAAGTACTGTTTGTGTGTGTGTTTATATTATAACTATCTGTATATAAAAACAATAGAAGTCTATGTAATGTCCCCATTTAGATAGCTAAGCAAACAAGTAAAAGTGTGTGTGTGTGTGTGTGTACCTGTTTTTCTATTCTGGTGGGGACTTAAACCTGAATACACACAGACTCATGGGGACTCGTGTCACGGTGGGGACCTAAATTGAGGTCCCCACGGGTAAACAAGCTAATAAATCACACATAATTAAGTTTTTTGAAAATCTAAAAATGCAGAAAGTTTCCTGTGAGGGGTAGGTTTAGGGTTAGGGTTGGTGTAGGGCAATAGAAAATACAGTCTGTACAGTAGAAAAACCATCACGCCTATGGAGAGTCCCCACGAGGATAGCTGACCAGACATGTGTGTGTGTGTGTGCGTGTGTGTGTGTGTGTGTGTGTGTTTTAAAAAAGACATTTAAAAAATAGGGTAATAAATAATACCAATTCACTTGAAGATGTGCTAATATATAGGCTTATTTATAATTAATAATAATATCATGACCGTAATCATATTATATCATATTATATAGGCCTATTATATTATATTTTAATAATAGCCTATGTAACAATATATTGTATTATTATGTATTATTATTAAGCACAAGGTATACCTTGTACTTTACATAAATCCCTGTATAAATGTCATAAATAAACAATCTACATCTATTTCCACATTTTTGACAGGTTGAAGCCTACAGAAAACTCTGAGCACCAGCTAGTCTTGTGTAAAAATCGAATTCCAGAAATGCAGAGGAAATACTCTCTGCTGTGTTTCTGTAATTGTCAAACATTAAAGCGCTATTGTAATCTGATACGAGGCTCTAGTAAATATACAAGAATGATTTAAACTCTATATTTGGCAGCGTGCATGGACACTCATGGGAAAATGCTTGCATCGAGTTTCTGATCACATGACTGGAAGTGTAGGATTTGACTCCAGCTGGGAGAGCAGAGCAGAGCAGAGGAGCGGAGCGTGTTCAACAATACACGCATTCAAAACATTCGCATTTCCACGTCCCCGTACGTGGATCTGTCACGGAAAACTATTGCACTGGTTTCTTGAAACTTTTAAAGCTTTTATACAATTGCTGTTTATATATCAAACAAGGATATTTGGGCAGCGTCGTGGGAATTGGGAAGTTTACCGGCTGCGCTATGGAATAACGTTAGCCCAAGTCGTGGATCCGATGTGTTTTCTTCAGCTTCAGGAAGAAATACGAGCTAACTCGGAGAGAAGTGGAGAGGTTTAACTTCTCTCTGACATTCCTCCTTTTTGCTCCCTTGAGTTTGATTTGAAGTTATTGAGAGGCAAGATGGCGGCCGATCCCGTGCAGGTGAGAGAATTATTTTCTCTTTTATTTGCTAACCGCGCGCTTTTATTTACTAACCCACTTTGATAGCATTACCTTTGTTTTAATCTGATCACTACTTTCAAATTTCAACACTCTTCTTAAGCATTAGATAGTGACTTTTAACTGTATCTGAGGGTTAAATGTGGCCTATAAATATTGACACCGACCAACTGTTGCTTCAATCCCAGCATACATGCATAACTCCAGTGGCATTCAGAACAGCAGTTACTCAATGTTTTGTACCTCTTTGTCCTTATTCGCATAATCTCTTTTTACAACTCGTGAGACCTTAAATGTTATTGTTTCTTCAACGGCATATTTACAATACGTTTACTATTTGAAAGTAAAATGCGTTTCCTTTTTGTAAAATGCACTAATATGTCCTTTCGTTTTCTCAAAACCCATGAGAGCTGTTTTCATGAAGGAAATATTAAATGATTAAAAACGTTTGACTAAACAGCAGTGTATTTGTGCACACGAAATAAATGGAGAAACTGTGGAGCAGAACCTCTTTTTCGTTTCCTGAGGGAAAATCTGGAGTAAAATCTATTATTAGTAACATATCCTGAACGATTCCACCCTGGCAACTCCCTGAATCACTGCTGAATACTGTATGAGGCAATGTCAGTGTTTGTTTGCCTGCTTTTTATGAAACACGTTTCTAAAAACATTCCGTTTAAAATTATATTGCAAGTTATACAAAGAAAATACAGTAAACTTTACAAACAACTGACGTCAAAGGCAATATGCAAGTTTTGACTTTATTAATTAATAATTTAGATAAGTATAAACTGGCTTTTTGCAAATTGAAGGTCATGTAAATGGATATTTTGCCTTATGTAAGGGTTTTAGTCCAGCTGTTGCATAATTTGATGGTCTTTACATCATTGGTAATGCAACAAAATGTCCTATCTTTATTTCTTAAAAGTCATGTTTCTTCCAATATAATGTTATATTTGACTAACTTTGTAAATTAGTAAACTAGCTTTTTAACTAGTTAAAACCTTTGTTTATTTATTTAGTTGTGTGACATAGCCTAGGCATTGTACTGTCACAACTGTCATTCTAAGGAGACACAATGATTCAAACAAAATGATTCAAGTGAAAACAATACAAAGTAGTAAAGAAGTATAGTAAGTAGTGTTGAAAGTGTAAATGGTTGTGAATCAGGCCTTTGTGAACAGGATTATTTCTAAACTCGTGTCATTCTGTTGCTTTGAGAGGGAGTAGTTTGATTGCTGTGTTTGGGTTGTGTCTCCTCCCCACATAATTGCTGTGAGGCACAACTGAAACCCAGCAATGTAACTGATACTCTTCGTTTGAATGTTCAGAGGGACTCCGGCAGGTTGGTTTTGGCTGGAGTGTTGGACAGGTATCCTCTGGCCCTTATCTGGAGCCAAATGTGTTACTGAAGGAGATAGAGGCAATAGCTCAGAAATACCACAGTCTTTGTGTAGCTAAGGGAAGAGGATGTAAGGATAAGCAAATTTTTATTTTCTTTAAAGATTAGTTTTAAATGATCGATGTCAAACACACTGGCATAAGCAGTCCACAAAATATTTCAGTTTGTTTGCTGAAGTTGAGGGCATGTTTCGTTGCAAAGGAATTCCACTGCAAGTTTTGGTTTTCTTCCTGTCTTGTTACTATGAATGGTGCCTTTTCTTTTCTTTTCTTTAATACATTTAAAAAATATATTTATAACGTTTTATTGATTGAGAACAACAGAAAACAAGCTGTGCACTTGGGCTGCAGGATTATGACAAAAATCGTAATTGTCGATTATTCCCATGAAATTGTAATTGCGATTATTAATTACGATTATCAAAATTTACATTGAATGATGTTTATATCATTGTTTGAAGCAACTGCAAAAATGTGTCCCTTTTCTACCGATTGAACTATGTTAAACATTTCAGATGCATGTCTCATTGTTTTGTAACATTTTTGGTTTTGGTTTCAATTAGGCCTGGGCGATAAAACGGTATCGATATTTATCGACGGTACACCTTCTTCGATAACGATATTAAAAATGTTCGATATAGTGCACGATATAGGCACTTGCTCTGAGTGACGCAGACAGCACACACAAACATGAACACATGCTGAATTGAGTGCTGTGCCTGCCTGTGATGAGGAGATTGTGAATAAAAGAATTTAAAATAAACATTTGCATTTGAATGCAAAAATAGTACAATCAAATGTTAGGAGTGCGTCAGGGAATAGAATAAAAAAATATAAATATTGTATATAAATATAAATATTAAAAAAATTGTGAATAAAAAAAGGAATATTAGTCGAATTTAAAATAAACATTTGCATTTGAATGCAAAAATAGTACAATCAAATGTTAGGAGTGCGTCAGGGAGCGTCATCAGTGGAGCACGAGATGCGGTGATGATGTAAGTGACGTTGTTGTATTTTAATGTTTTGTTAGTCTTGCCCACGAGATTATATTGCTCTGTTTTAAAAAAGGTTATAAAAAATGTCAATAATTATCGATACCGAACGATATGAAACATTATATCGTTGATACATTTTTTTAGCTATATCGCCCAGCACTAGTTTCAATCCATTGTGCTCTATAAAATGATAAAATTTAATGCTATTAAAATTAGAAATTTTACTGCTAGTTGCTACACAAGCGTACACCCCATCCATCAATTAGCCACAGACCTGTCAAGAACCTCCCAGTCAAACAGGAAACATGTATAATGATAAATCAGATTTTTAAGTCATTATTATTAGTTTGTTTTTAAATGTGGCATTAAGGTGGAAAATCTCTTTCTGTTAATCTTAATTTTTACTTGGAAGGTCACCTGACATATATTCCCATTTAATCTAGTTCTATAAAGAACCCTGTGCAAGACGTTTCCTGAGTGATCTGTGCCAGATCACAAGGTCTATTGGATTATGTGTTTGCTGTGAGTGCTGCAGAGGTACTAAAGGTAATGGAACAGATAAGGTAGTGGGTTAGAGGAAAGTCTTTTCACTGGCGTGGGTCCTGGGGGTCATGGTAAAACCATAATAGGATGAACTCCGAGATAAAACTCACAGGATGATGCTCAAACCCTCATTGGCTCTGAGCTCATTCATGACTCTTTTCAGTGGGTGGAGTCTCAGAGAACTGGCCAGTCACCGATGTCATGGAGGCCCAGCATAGTTCAATGGAGGGCTTCACATGTTGGAACCGAGCGGCAACCTCCCGCTCTCTCTCGTGAAGCCAACAAGGAAGTGACTTAAACTGTAATTCATCAACTGGCCGCTAGAGGCTGGCTGCAAAAGGGAGTCAATCCCATAGACTCCCCATGTTAAAATGCCCAACTAAACAGCAGAAAAAAACATGTTTACAGCCTGGTTCAAAAAATGATTTTGGTCTATATAGCTAATTTTGCCCTTCATGACAACTGTGAGGGGGGGTGAATTTTTTTATAACTCATCAGTTTAAATTATATTAAGCCTTAAAGTTCTGCATAATTAAGGGCGTGGCCACTTGAGTGACAGGTGGATTGCAGCTGCTGTCACCACCGTCGAGCTAGGTGGGCGTGGCTTCAGCAACCTGCTCCCGCCTCTTTGCCCATTTTCGATTATCCGGGAGTGAAGCACGGTGACGCGCTGCCAAGATGGCGACGGAACGCACTTCGGAACCCTACGGGTGACGTCACAGACACTACGTCCATGTTTTTATACAGTCTATGGTTGGAAGTCCTCTCCCTACTCATTTTTAACTGTTTTTAACTTGCAAAATTAAATCTAAACACATGGACGCTAGAACTATAGGGATATAGCAATACTAGTTCATGAAATATTATAAATATTTTAAAAATATTACAAATATTTTATTTAAAAAAATTAAAGGTTGGTTTTTAGTATTTTCTTATTCTCTTTTTAATAGTTCATTGTTTATATGTAATAATTTCCAATTATATGCACTAATATAACAATAATAGTAATATACAGCAATATTAATCTGCATTATAAGCAGTATTAACCTGAGCATGTGATGCAAAATAGTCAATAGATCAGACTTGAGTCATGAATCAAACTCTAAAGCCTTTTTTTATAATGCAGTTTAAATCATAGATGAATCATTAAACAAGAAGAAATACTGAAACTAGTGACAAACTGAAATGGTCTGGGAAACTTGATGCATTGTAGTTTTAATAATAATAATAAACATTTATTTGAATAGTACTTTTCATACATTAAATGCCACTCAAAGTGCTCTACAAAATATAATAGAGGCATTAAAGGGTCATGAAACCCCCTGTTTCAGCACTGGTTAGTTCTCACTACAGTTTTAAAAAATGCTAAAAAAGTGGGCATGGTGCGGAGCGGAGGGGGAAGAGGGGAGAAAGACAACACAAACAGCTTCGGGCTCAGACAGTTTCATTTTACTCCCATGGAGTTAAAAACACAAATAAATGCACAGCCATTTGCACTCTGCATCGAAAACATATATATGAACACGCTGTTGCACCTCTGATAAATTTTTAGGCTTATTCTGCTGCATTTATATAAGCATTTTGACGGCTTGTGTCACGGAGCTGTAAAAACGCTTACACTCACTAAGTGAATGAATCGCGTTTGTGCTGAACTCTTATTACAAAGCAAAAACAAACGCTCTCCTTTGATTCATGAACGTTTCTCTCAGTTATGAACGCAGTCTCACAGTCTGAAGCGTCTGTCATAGCAAATCAACACATGCTGTTGTGAATAATTAAGCGAAGCGTCTTCTCATAGGATAAGAACACGCAGTCTCATGAATAATTTAATAGACACCGACGCGTCATCAATGTACTATAGTCCTTTGCCACGTCACAAATTGTGACGTCAACACGATGTACATTTTAAACCCGAAAGCTTAAAATTAACCAGTTTTCTCAAACAGTTAAAATTACCGGATGCTAACATTGTCTTCTATAATGTGCAACACAAACACCTCTGCTAAAATCTCAGAAAAAGTAGTCTGGGGTTTCATGACC